CAGCCGCAGCAGCAGCAGCCGCAGCAGCAGCAGCAGCAGCCACTTCCTCCTCCTGTCTCGGGTCTTCGGACCCTTGGTCTCCCCTCTCCTTCTCCTCCCTCCTCCGCCTCTCCTCCTGTCTACGGTCCCACGTTTCCTCCTCCTGACTCCTCCCCCGCTGTTTTCCCCAGTTCTCTGCCTTTGTCCTCTCCTCCTCCGTCTCGTACTTGGGCTACTCGTCGCTCTCCTCGTGCTCGTCCCTCGTCCCCTGTTCCTTTCACAGACCTTCGTACTGTCTTGTTACGTTCTAGTCCGTCTCGTTCGGCTCCTCCTGTGCTTCCTTCTCCTCCTGAGTCGGCCCTCACAGCTTCTCTCTCTACCCCTATCACTGACTACTACCGCACGTACCGTCCTGTTCTCTCTCGTGTTCTCGCCTCTCTTGTTACCCACCCTCGTGCCTCTTTGTCCTCCGTCTCCGCTCTTACTGCCACGGTCACTGAGTTTGCCTCTACTCGCCGCCTTGACTACGCCACCACTCTTGTGGCTGCTCCTCCTACCAGTCCTCTGGCCGTCGGGGGTGTGTCTGCCCTTGGCTGTGACGTCCTAGAGGACAGGCAGTTTGAGCTAGAGTTCCTGGCGGCCGCTTCCCCTCATCTCTGTGCCATGCTCCTCACCCCTGAGGGTGACCCCGACGCCCTTGACATTCCGACTCCTCGCACTTACGCTGAGGCAGTGTCAGGGCCTCGGGCCCCTCAGTGGAGAGCTGCCATGGACGCAGAGATGGCCTCCTACAGATCCACAGGCACCTACGTCGATGAGGTTCCTCCCCCTGGGACGAACGTAGTCGATGGCATGTGGATCTACAGGGTGAAGCGGCCACCAGGATCTCCTCCAGTCTTCAAGGCGCGCTACGTTGCTAGAGGTTTCAGTCAGCGCGAGGGAGTTGACTTCTTTCAGACCTTCGCGCCGACCCCGAAGATGACCACTCTTCGGGTGTTACTGCACGTAGCAGCACAGAGAGACTACGAGTTACACTCTCTCGACTTCTCCACTGCTTTTCTTCAGGGCAGCCTACACGAGGAGGTCTGGCTGCGTCGTCCCTCTGCCTTCACTGGCACTTTCCCTCCTGGGACCCAGTGGAGGCTGAGGCGACCTGTCTACGGTCTTCGTCAGGCCCCTCGTGAGTGGCACGACACTCTCCGCTCTACCCTCTCTGACCTTGGGTTCCAGCCGTCTTCTGCCGACCCGTCGCTGTTTGTTCGCCGTGGCTCCACACCGTTCTTCATTCTGGTCTACGTCGACGACCTAGTTTTCGCCACTGCTGACAGGGTTGCTTTGGCAGACGTGAAGTCCGAACTGCAGAAGAGACACACGTGCACTGACCTTGGTGAGCTGCGCCATTACCTTGGGCTGCAGATCACCAGGGACAGAGCTGCTCGCACCATTACACTCTCACAGTCACACATGGTGCAGCAGGTCCTTCAGCGGTTCGAGCTTCAGCACTCCACAGTACAACGCACACCTCTTGCTGTTGACCACAGACTCACTGGCCCCTTTCCTGACGAGCCGTTTGAGCCTAGTGGTCCCTACGCAGAGCTTGTGGGTTGCCTCATGTACCTGATGACTTGTACTCGCCCGGACCTCGCTTTCCCTCTCAGCATCCTTGCGCGCTTTGTTGCGCCAGGGAGACACCGTCCTGTTCACTGGACAGCAGCTGTGAGGGTGGCGAAGTACCTAGCGACGACATCAGGCGTGGGGCTAGTTCTTGGAGGGCAGCAGGCTGTTGTACTTACTGGTCACTGTGACTCTTCTTACGTTGACGACGCTGAGACTCACAGGTCTACTCAGGGGTACTGTTTCAGTCTGGGTTCTGGAGCTGTTTCCTGGCGGTCCACGCGCTCCTCTTCGGTCTCGACCTCTACAGCTGAGGCTGAGATCTACGCTGGTGCCATGGCGGCACAAGAGCTGCGTTGGTTGACGTTCTTGCTCGCCGACCTGGGTGAGCGGCCGAGCTTTGCGCCGACCTTGTTCACTGACAACAAGGCATCGATTCTCCTTTGTCGAGAGCCACGACTGGAGAGCAGAGTGAAGCACATTAACGTCAGGTACTTCCTTCTGCGAGAGTTGCAGAGACGTGGGCAGGCTCGCTTCGAGTTTGTGGAGTCTGAGGCCAACACTGCAGACATCTTCACCAAGGCGCTTCCGCCTTGTGACCACCACAGGTGTTGTGTGCAGTTAGGCCTTGTTGACACTGGTTTTCGGCTTACTTAGTCTTGAGTTCACTGTTTGTTTTGCTTGTACCCTTTCTATATAACTCTGTTATTTCTTGGACTGGCCTTGTGGCCATTGTTGCTTGTGCTCAGAGTGTGTGGTGACGTTGTGATCCACCCTGAGCTTTGTTTCTTTGTGACTGGTCTTATGACCGTACTCTTTTGGTTTTGCTAGACACCCCTCACTTAGGCTATGGGGGTGTGTCAAATGTTGGTAGCCTGTAGTGAGGTTTGTCTTAGGGGGTACGTATGTTAGGGTTTGCTACTTGTACCCCAACCACCATCAATGAACCAACACTTCCGATTCTGACACCTTTGCCTCTTTTACCATATGTACGTTGATGTGAAGCTTAAGAGTCATGATAACCGAATTGGCATAAGTGTAAGGCGATGTAGGCATATGCTGTTGAATGGAGAGTACATTCCATTTTAAAGTACTGAATGGGCCTACTAATTTCCTGGTATATCGGTCAACAACATTAATGATTGATTATTGTGGAGGATCGTTTTTGTTTGCTATCTTATGTCATTTTTATTGGCAGTAAATATAGGCTGAATGAATAGTTGCAGTATAAGTTAAGTTGGAGGTTGTGCCCCTACCTACCGTTTTGACATAATTGCGTACAAGCTGTATTGTTAGAAAAACAATCATTTGGTGTTCTGAGGTAGATCTGGTTGATTAAGAGGCAGATAGAGCTTCCCTATATAGAGGAAACACTGGAGCAGATTTCAAGGTTGGTGTTTTGATGGTGTGAAGGATTTGTTTACTGTAGCATAAATGACACGACAAAACCAAGGCGTTCTCACCCATTGGCCAAATATCGCGCCGCGCCAGCTCTTTTAGCCACTCCCGTTCGCTACGCATTCAAAGCACGAGGTATGACTGGCTGGCCGAGTGGTCCCCCACTGCCACCTGGCCTTGATTCTGGGCAAGGCAGGGGTGGTGGAAAGTTGCTCACGCGAAACCTTGATACGCCAGGCTGCTTTATGATGCTTGTTTCGAAATGCAGCAGCGGATATCGAGGATAGTTTGTTCCTGCTTCTCCTCGCTCTTCGAAAAGCCAACTTGTATGGCTGGTGAGGCGTTCTTTCGGTTAGGGTTTGAGTAATGCGACGCTGCTGCTGCTGTTTACTTTGAGAGCTGCGATGCGGCTGATTGGTCAACTCATCTTCCACCACTAGTTTCTCTCTCTCTCACTTGAAAGTCACTGGCGAGCAGCATCTGCTTTTGCTGACGGCTGTGTAGCTCGTTTCACCACTTCGTTTCCTCTCCCTCGTCCCCTGCGCTGCAGAAGCGGCGTGATTGAACCGAACCTGTTTCCCAACCCAGGCCGACAGATCACCTCACCCCACCCCCACCGCTCAAAACTCATCCGGGTTGCGTGCCTAGCGTGTGGCTATCCAGCTGCGTCCGTTCGCGTCTCGATCTAGTTATCAATCAGAACCACCGCTATCCTCGCTATGGACTTCTTCGGCGCGACAATTCGGCATCCATTAGCACCTCCTATTGCCGGCCAGTCCCTTCCCCAAACCACCACTCTCCCACGTCCCGATGCTTTTCCTCTGACGCCTCAGTCATGGCTCGAGCAACCGCTACAGCAGCCGCTACAACAGCAGCAACAGCTGCAGTCGCAGCTTCAGGAGCAGGCGCTGCTGTCGCAATTAGGTCACGATCAGGCGATGCAATTAGGTCAACTAGATCAGCTCCACCAGATCCAATCGCGCGCCTTAGTGGCTTCTTCCGCCTTAGCCTCTTCCGCGCCGCAGAATTTCCTCCGCGAATTGCAGATGCAGCGCCAGTTAGATGAGGAATCCCGACTTTTAGCGCTTCAGCAGCAGCAGCATCAGCAGCAGCATAACATGGCTCTATTGCAGATGCTCATGGAACGACAGCAGCAACAGCAGCAGCAGCAACAGCAGCAGCAGCAACAGCAAGCCGCGGCGTCTCAACTTCAGGAATCGCTATTTCAGCAGCAACAACAGCAGCTGGAGCTGCTACGTCAGTCCCAGCACCCGTTAGCAACAGCAGCTCCCGCGTCTCCTGCGTTAGGAACAGCAGCGTCAGCAGCGGTGCAGCTCGGTCAGGAGGTTAGCAACGGCGGGTTACTAGCAGCGGCAGTGGCCGCCGCTGCAGCCACTGCTGCGGCAGACGGCATGTGGAATGCGCAGAGCGCGCCGAGCCAACGGCAGAAGCAGAGAGTGCTGGATCCGTCCCGTCACCACCTTGAGCCGCATCCAGGGACTGCGCAGGGCGGGCAGCAGCAGCAGCGATCAGCGTCGCCCTTGCAGCCGCCGAAGCAGGAGAGGCATCCGGCGGAGGCAAATCAGCGGCAACAGCAGCAGCAGCAGCTGATGCAGCGCCGTCAGAATCTGCCAGACCAGCTGCAGCACTCGCAGCAATTGGAAAAACCGCAGCAGCAGCAGCAGCAGCAGCAGCAGCAGCAGCAGCAGCAGCAGCAGCAGCTACCACCGACCTCCCTTCCAGAAACCAGCGCGTCAGTCCCCTTGAACCACGTTGACGTCTTGTCACCTTCCGCAGGACCGGCGGTAACAGGAGCATCAGCTTCAGCTACAGCTACAGCAGCAGCGACAGCCATAGTAGGAGCAGCAGGAGCAAGCGGGCCAGGGGCAGCAGCAGGAGAGGCGGATATTCTGGAGATTCCCTCCTTTTCCGCGCAGCCTAGCGGCGACCTGTTCATCACCGGCGGACCTAGCAGCTCCGCGCTCATGGCCCCCGCGGGTTCCGCGCTTATGGTCCCCGCGGGCTCCGCGCTCATGTGCCCCGACTCCCCCAACTTCGTGTCGTTGCTCTCCATGTTCTCCTCGCCCCATCCGCTCAGCTGCGCGGGATCGCTCGCGGACGGGCAGGAGGGGGACGAGCAGCAGGAGGATTCCAAGGCGGGGGTGCTGGTCAGGGGCGCGGGGGGCGGATGGGGAGGGAGGAGGGGAGGCGGAAGGAGCGCGGGCGGGAGAGGAGCCGCGGGGCACCTGGTGTGCGCTCCGCCGAGGAATGTGCTGCAGGTGGCGGGGGGCCCGCGCGCGGAGAGGGTTCCGGGGCTGCAGGCGCGGATAGATAAGGCGCTGAGAAGCCTCTGCCAGGTGTGTGCGCGGTGGGGGGGGGGGGTAAAGCTGGCGGTTGGGAGGAAAGCAGGGAAGGGAGAGGAGGGGGTTGGGGGTAATGGTCGGGAGAGGGTGCCTTGGAGGAGAGAAAGAGAGTTCCACGTGGCAATTTCCTTCCATCCACCCCCTTTTCTCACTAGAGATACCCCATTTCCTTCCTCCATCCACCATTCCCCCCCCCCGGAAATCCCCAGTCGCGCGGAGATCTGCTGGCGCAGGTGTGGTTCCCAACGTGGCAAGAGGGACAGCGCGTGCTGAGCACGCGCGAGCAGCCGTTTGTGCTGATGGAGGGCAGTGAGAAGCTGCGCGTCTACCGCACCATCTCCACCAAGTGAGTGCCCAACCTAGGTGGCTGGCCAGGGTTTCTCGTCTGCACTGCGGGGTTCCCCCTCATTCTTGGAGGTTGTGGTGGTAGGGAGGGGCTGGGAGCAGGGAAGCAGCCGTTTGTGCTGATGGAAGGCAGCGAGAAGCTGCGCGTGCACCGCACCATCTCCACCAAGTGAGTGTACAGCTTTTGATTCATGGGGATTGGGGGGATGGGTTGTAAGAGAGAAAGATTTGTTGATTCATTCATCCCCAACGGTTGGGCCTCCCAGGCCGTGTGTTTGTGTCGGGTTGACTCCGATGGACGCCCCACGTGCAGTACTACTCGCGGGACGAGTACCTCCGCGTGGCCCACGCCTGCTTCACTCGCTTGCTCGCTTACTTCTTCCCTTCGAACTCACCTCTTCTGCCTCCATTATCCCTCCCTATCTTCCCCCCTTTCTCCCCCTTCCCCCAGCTACACCTTCCCCTTGTCAGGCAGCGGGTATCTAGGCCTTCCAGGCCGTGTGTTCGTATCCGGCCGCCCCGAGTGGACGCCCAACGTGCAGTATTACTCGCGGGACGAGTACCTCCGCGTGGCGCACGCCACACCTGATCCCCTTCCCACCTACACCCTCCACCCCCCCCCCCCCCCCCCCCTTCCTTTCTCAACCCCCAGCTACAGCTTCCCCTTGTCGGGAAGTGGATATCTGGGCCTGCCAGGGCGGGTCTTTGTGTCAGGCCGCCCCGAGTGGACGCCCAACGTGCAGTACTACTCGCGGGACGAGTACCTCCGCGTGGCCCACTCCACACCTGACTCCCTGCCTCACCTCAACCTCGCACCCTACCCTCGCCTCCCCTCTCCCCCCACCCCCAGCTACACGTTCCCATTGTCTGGCAGCGGGTACTTGGGGTTACCGGGCCGGGTTTTTGTTTCCGGTCGCCCCGAGTGGACCCCCAACGTGCAGTACTACTCGCGGGACGAGTACCTCCGCGTGGCGCACGCCACTCGGTGCAACGTGCGGGGAGCTCTGGCTGTGCCCATTTTCCGAGTGCTGGGGAATGAGGGGAAGGGGAAGGGGAAGGGCAGGGGAGATCGGGGGGAAGGGGGCGGGGAGAGCTGGGGGACGGGCAGCAGCGGGAGCAGCAAGGGCGGATTGGAGGGGGAGAAGGAGGGGGAGGGGGACGAAGGGGAGAGTGGGGGGAAGGTGATGGTGGTGAAAGGAGTGGGGTGCGGGGGAGGCGGAGTGGGGCGGAGGAGGCAGGAGCTAGTGGCGGTGGTGGAGCTGGTGATGATGGGCGAGGATGTGCGGTTTGGCCCGCAGATTGATGCCGTGTGCAACGCACTGCAGGTGAGAGACAGGGATGGAGTGCGGTGCTAAGGAATGGATGGAAATAGGGTGTTGCAGAGGGGTGTTGTGGCACAGCCCTCAATCCATTCCAGTTCCATTCGCCGTTGCAATGGGCATTTTATTGCCCCTGTCCCTGGGCAATGCCCCACGCCATTGCCAAACGATGCGATGCACGCCACCCACCCCACCCCACCCCACTCCACTCCACCCCACCCTACCTCACCCCGCCCCACCCCACCCCACCCCACCCCACCCCACCCCTCCCCCCCCCACCCCCAGACGGTGGACCTGACCAGCATTCGCGCATGGGACCACCTTCCAGCAGAGGTGGGTTCGTGTTCCTGACGCCATTTGAGCATCTTATGTTGTTGACTGCATCTCTTGCTTGTGACTGCAAATCCACATCTTTGGTTTTGGATCGAAGTGACCCCTCGCATTGTGTTGCACTGCCACTCCCCCCCACTTTCCCGCTCCCCCCCACCCCTCCCCCCTTATAAAGTGCTCCCTTCGCTCGCTCTGCGACTGCCACTCACTGCCAGCAACAACTTCCTTTTTTCTTTGCCCTACTCGCTCTCTGCTGCCCCTTCTCTCCCCACCCCCCTTACACCCTGCGTTTCAGATACCCTTCCCTGGCCGAGGGGCAGTGTTAACCGAGATACACGAGGTGCTCTCCTCGCTCTGCGACAAGCACTCGCTGCCCCTCGCCCAGACCTGGATTCCCTCCTCCTGGGTCCGCCTCTCCGAACCTCCCGCCGCACCTGCTGCCGAGCCTGCGGCTCGGGGGTCTCGGGGGCCTGTAGGGGCGAGCATGCGGAGCAGTGCGGGGGCGGGGTGGAGCATGAGACGCGAGGGGGCGGTGCGGGGAAAGGAGGGAGTTGATGTGGGGAGCTTACAGCAAGATGTGTTTGAGGTGTTCCCAATTGGAGGCGAGGGGAGCAGAGGACAGGCAACAGGGGGAGAAGGAGAAGAAGGAGAGGGAGAAGGGCGAGGAGGGAGAGGAGGCGAGGGGGATGGAGAGGAGGAGCAGGGACAGGGAGGGGAGGAGGAGGAGGAAGCAGTGACGCTATTCACAGCAGACATGCCGAGCTGCGTGGCGGATCTGCGCATGTGGGGCTTCCGCCAGGCGTGCTGCGAGCACCAGCTGCAAGCAGCACAGGGCTGCCCCGGCCGAGCCATGACCTCCAACGCCCCCGCCTTTTGCGACGACCTTCAGTTACTCACCAAGGAGCAGTACCCTCTCGTGCACTACGCGCGCATGTTCGGGCTGCGAGCGGCCGTTGCGATTCGCCTCCGGTCGGTTTTGTCTAAGGAGATGGATTATGTGCTGGAGTTTTTTCTCCCGCCGGGGTGTAGGGAGAAGGAGGAGCAGCAGCGGCTGCTGACGGCGCTGTCGCAGAGCATGCAGGAGGCGTGTCGGAGCTTGAGGACGGTTACTGTGGAGGAGATGGTGAGGTGTAGGTCCGGGAGTAGGTCCGGAAAAAGTGGGGGTAGTCGAGGCACACGGTCAGGCTCGGGGACGGGAGGTGAGGGGGCGGGGGGTGAGGGTGCGGGTGGGTCGGTGATGGGAGGTGGGGGGGTGGAGACGAGGGGGGGAGCGTGGGGGGGAGGGAAGGGGAAGGGGGTGGTGGGGGAAGGGGTGTCTGAGGGAGTTAGTGTGGTGAGGGGTGTGGGGGGGAAGGGAGCGAGGGAGGGGGGCGAGACTCCGGAGAAGAGAGATAGGGAGGTGAAGAGGAGGCGAGTGGAGGGACAAGGTGAGGGGGAAGGGGCGACTGGTGTGGGTGAGAGCAGTCCCTTTGAAGCTGCAGCAATGGCTGAGCTCTGTGCAGGTTCGGCAGTCACGCCACTGGCTCACGTTACGCCACCCACTCACAACACGCCACCTGGCAATTGCTCGGCTGATGTGGCGTTTCCGCTGGGGAACGGTGCTGTTGTGCCTGGTGCAGGAGGGAATGGTTTAGTAGGGTGTGGAGGAGTCCAAGGGGGTGATGAGCGGGGCGTGGGGAATGGTGTGGGCATGGGTAATGGTGCCGGCACGGGGAGTGGTGATATGGGTAATGGTGGTGGTGGCATCGGCAATGCCTGGGAGGAAGGTGGTTTTTCTGAACAGCAGCAGCAACAGGGGGAGATGGGAGCAGGTCCGAACGCACTTATGGGCGTGGGCGCAGACATGGGAACAGGCATGGGAACAGGCATGGGAACAGGCATGGGAACAGGCATGGGAGCAGGCATGGGAACAGGCATGGGAGCAGGCATGGGAGCAGGCATGGGAGCAGGCATGGGAGCAGGCATGGGAGCAGGCATGGGAGCAGGCATGGGTGGGGGCGCCAGCATCAACATGAACGCAGGTGGGATGGGCACAAGCATGGGCATGCAGGCCATGCCCCCACTACCTGAAGACGCCTTCTCAGGTGAAAGCTCAGGTCCTCCAGCTGTGGTCTCTGCAGCCGCCGCCCCTGCCGCCCCTGCCGACCCTGTGTTGGGCGGCGGCGAGGTGGCAGCTGCACCTGGTGGCCAATCAGGTGTCCCTGCCACGTCAGACAGGAGTGGTGACAGCCTGGACGAGGGGGGAGGGGCGCTCGAGGGGACCCCTGATGGGGCAAGCTCGGGGCAGCCTTCAGGGGGAGCAGAAGGGGGGGCGGAAGGGGGAGCGGAAGGGGGAAGGCAGGGGGGAATGCGGGTAGAGGAGGATGTGACAGAGGGAGGAGGAGGGGGGGAGGAGAGGGCGGGAGGGGCGGAGGGAGGGGCGAAAGGGGGGGTGAAGAAGGGGGAGAAGCGGAGAGGGGGGACGAACGAGAAGAGCATCAGTCTAGCCGTGCTGCAGCAGTACTTTGCAGGGAGCCTTAAGGACGCTGCCAAGGCATTGGGAGGTGAGTTGCGTTGCATTGTGGGGTTTGTGGTGTGAGTAGTGAGTGTTCCGGGGGACGAACGAGAAGAGCATTGGGAGGCAGCATGGAATTGTGCGGTGGCCCTCCCGCAAGTTCAACAAGGTATCTCGGAGCATTCAGCAGCTGCAGGACGTCTTCGAGTCGAGTGGTGATGGCCTTCTGTGTGCACGACCAGCACTCATTGAGTGGTGACCAGCATCCATCGCTCTCCTCCTCCTCCCTGCCATCTGCCTTCTTCCGCTCCCTTCCTTCCCCCTGCCCCCCTCCTCTGCTAACCATTCAGTGTGCCCGACCACATTGATAAGGATATGCAGGCAGCACAGCATAGCGCGGTGGCTATCGCGCAAGATCAACAAGGCCTCTCGGAGCATTCAGTGTCGCTCTCCTTCCCTTGCTGCCCGCTTTCAACTCCCCAGTGTGCCCGACCACATTGAAGAGGATATGCAGGCAGCACGGCATAGCGCGGTGGCCGTCGTGCAAGATCAACAAGGTCTCTCGGAGCATTCAGTGTGCCTCTCCTTCCACCCCTCCCACCCTCCAACTCCCCAGTGTGTCCCACCACACTGAAGCGCATTTGTAGGCAGCATGGAATCGCCAGGTGGCCGTCGCGCAAGATCAACAAGGTCTCTCGGAGCATTCAGTGTGCCTCTCCTTCCACCCCTCCCACCCTCCAACTCCCCAGTGTGTCCCACCACACTGAAGCGCATTTGTAGGCAGCATGGAATCGCCAGGTGGCCGTCGCGCAAGATCAACAAGGTCTCTCGGAGCATTCAGTGTGCCTCTCCTTCCACCCCTCCCACCCTCCAACTCCCCAGTGTGTCCCACCACACTGAAGCGCATTTGTAGGCAGCATGGAATCGCCAGGTGGCCGTCGCGCAAGATCAACAAGGTCTCTCGGAGCATTCAGTGTGCCTCTCCTTCCACCCCTCCCACCCTCCAACTCCCCAGTGTGTCCCACCACACTGAAGCGCATTTGTAGGCAGCATGGAATCGCCAGGTGGCCGTCGCGCAAGATCAACAAGGTCTCTCGGAGCATTCAGTGTGCCTCTCCTTCCACCCCTGCCACCCTCCAACTCCCCAGTGTGTCCCACCACACTGAAGCGCATTTGTAGGCAGCATGGAATCGCCAGGCCGACGCGCAAGATCAACAAGGTCTCTCGGAGCATTCAGTGTGCCTCTCCTTCCACCCCTCCCACCCTCCAACTCCCCAGTGTGTCCCACCACACTGAAGCGCATTTGTAGGCAGCATGGAATCGCCAGGTGGCCGTCGCGCAAGATCAACAAGGTCTCTCGGAGCATTCAGAAGCTGCAGGACGTCATCGAGTCCGTGCAGGTGCCAGCTGGTGCGCTGCGATTGGATGCCATCACGTCTGAGCTGGCGACAGCTGCAGCAGTGAAGGCAGTCACAGGAGCGCAGATCGGAGGCTCTGCCAACTCGAACCCAGCATTTTCTAACCCAGCATTAGCAGCGGCGGCTGCAGCAGCAGCGGCAGCAGCAGGGGTGGGGTCTGGGCAAGGGCAACAAGCAACACCTGTGCCAGGAGGTTCCACTATGCTCCCAGCTCCCTCCTTTGGCTTTAATTCCACCTCCTTCCAGTCCCTCCCCTGGCCCGGAAATCGCCATCCCTCCATGCTCGACCCTATGGTCGGAGGCTCGGCGCACGGACCTGGAGGTTCGGCGCATGGGCCTCTTGCCATGGCTGGAGGCTCGGCACACGGGCACTTTGCAGGAGGGTCGGCACATGGCCCGTTCATGGGCGTAGGAGGTTCGGCGCACGGAGGGATGGCGTTTGCAGGAGGTTCGGGACATGGCGGGGTGGCGTTTGCGGGAGGTTCAGCACATGGCGGGAATGCCTTTGCAGGAGGTTCGGCACACGGAGGCATGGCATTCGCAGGAGGCTCGGCACACGGGGGAAATGCGTTTGGGGGTGCGGGCGGGTCGACACATGGCGCGACGCTACTGGCTGCAGCAGCGGGAGCAGGATCAAATCATGGACCCTTCCCAGGAGGGACAGTGCAGGGGGGATATATCCTCATGGGTAGTTCAGCCCATGGGCCTCACATGGCCCATGTGGGGGGGTCTATGCATGGGGCAGGAGGGTCCATGCATGGGGGAGGGTCAGTGCATGGGGGGATCATGGCTGGTATGCAAGCTGCTGCTGGTATGGGTATGGGTGGTATGGGTGCTCCTGGCATGGCAGCAGGCATGCAAGCAGGGGGCTCACATCATGGTGCATATTTCTTTGCAGGAGGGTCGGGTCATGGGGCGCATATGATGATGGGTTCAACCCATGGTGGGGCATATGCAGGCCCGGCAGCTGCTGCTGCTGCCGCTGCTGCAGGCATGGCCGGACCTGGCGGAAGCGGAGGTTCGGGTGGAGGCCTGGGGCCGAACCCAGCCAGCGGGTCGATGCATGGGGGACTGGCAGGAAGCGCAGGGGGGGTGCACGCGGCGAATAGGACGCCGCCACCTGGCAAGCTGCCAATCCCCCGGGATCCGTCGAATTCGAATCTGAGTCTTGCTTTGAGTCTTAAGAACGGGGCCGGGACGCAGAGAGCAAGTGGGGCGGTTGCTGGCGGGGACGACGAGGGCACGACACATGGCACAAGCCTATTGGCTAGTCTGCTCCGGAGGAGTGATGATGAGATGGGGTTGGTTGGGGGGACGGTGACAGGGGGAAGGGGAGAGGGTGATGCGGGGGAGGGGAGGGGCGGTGGGGGACATGAGGGGGGAGGGGGTGGGGGAGGTGGTGGTGGTGGTGGAGACGGGGGGGGACGCGGGCAGCTGGGGATGAGCCTGGATGGGCAAGCAGGCACGGCGGGGGGTACGGCCGGTGCTGCTGCAGGAGCAGAGCAGTGGTTGCAACAACAACAGCACCAACAGCACCAGCAGCAGCAGCAGCAGCAGCCTCAGCTAACAACAGCAGCAGCCGGAAGCTGCACCTGCTGGTGCCGGTGGCGCGAGAGGGCAGCAGAGGGAGGAGACGCGGGTACACGGGGGGCGGTCAGCCTTTGTTGCTCTGCGCAGCTACCAGCCCATTGCAGGGGATCAATCCAACGACCATCACCCTCAGAGCCAGCACCGGCAAGGGCAGCAGGGGCAGGGGCACACAGGAGGGGGCAGGGACGGGCAGGGAGGAGGAGGGGCAGCAGGGGGAGGCAGGGGAGGGTTTGAGGGGCATGAGGGCGCGGCAGGGGGGGTGGGGGGGCGGCTACGTGGGGGGCCGCCGTGTGCTGCTGATATGGCTGCTCTCCGTCATGCAGGCATGGGAGGAGCTGGGCAGGTTGGGTTCGCGGGTAGAGGGGGTGCTGGGAGTGTTGGGGGTGGTGGGGGTGCTGGTTCTCATGCTCATCCCACCACGTCATTGCACCTATGGGAGGCAGACCGGAGTGCTGCCTCTCCCTCAGCTGCAGCAGCAAGCACAGGAGCAGGAGGAGGAGGAGCAGCAGGAGCCCAGTCAGTGGTAACGATCAAGGCCACGTTTGGTGGGGATACAATCCGGTTCAGAGTGCCTTTGAACTCCTCAACGTTCCAGTTGGTTCAGGAGGAGGTAGCGAGCCGGCTGAGAGTGCCTGTGGGGGCATTCTCGCTCAAGTATTTGGATGAGGATGGCGAGTGGGTGGTGCTGGCTGGGCCGCAAGATATGGAGGAGTGCGTTCATATCGTGAGAGCGGCAGGGAGCAATACCATCAAATTGAACATCAAGGCGGAAACACAGGGGCGAGGGTGAAAGTTCAGGGCCGGTGGGTGCATTCTCGCTCAAGTATTTGGATGAGGACGGCGAGTGGGTGGTGCTGGTTGGTCCACAAGATATGGAGGAATGCGTTCATATTGTGAGAGCGGCAGGGAGCAACACCATCAAGCTGAACATCAAGGCGGAAACACAGGGGCGAGGGTGAAACTTCAGGGCCGTTGGGGGCATGTATTTGGATGAGGACGGCGAGTGGGTGGTGCTGGCTGGCCCTCAGGACATGAAGGAATGTGTTCACATTGTGAGAGCAGCAGGGAGCAATACCATCAAGCTGAACATCAAGGCGGAAGCACAGGGGCGAGGGTGAAACTTCAGAGCCCGTGGGGGCATTCTCGCTCAAGTATTTGGATGGGGACGGCGAGTGGGTGGTGCTGGCAGGTCCGCAAGACATGGAGGAATGTGTGCATATCGTGAGGGCTGCGGGCAGCTACACCATGAAGCTGAACATCAAGGCGGAAACACAGGGACGAGGGTGAATACTGTAGCTGGTTTAAACGACAGGAGGTGGTTTATTATACCACCATTTTGAATGTAGTACTTTTAATCTTTTGCTATTCAGTATAGGCTGGGCTACGAAAAACAATGGATTTCCGCAGTTCACAATATCAAGATACGGTAGGGTGTAGTGTACAAGGTGGGGGATTCTGGGAGAAGTGTACCGTACCCTCCCCCCTTGGAGAAGTTTCCGTTATAGAGACAAACACTGAGTAGTGTAGCAGATCTTTGGTGTCAGACAAGCATACATGTGCATTTCTTCCTTACATGCATACATCTTACGGTATTAACATTTCTAGAATTTGAGCACTGTACACATTCAAACTCCATCTCGGTACAATATTAGTTGGCAATGCATCATCCCTAAGCCAGTCTACGTCCATGTAGCACATCCATTTGTAACCACTCGTCAAACTCATCCGGTGTGTCGTCTCTGCACACATACAATCCAGGCGAGCGCAGCACAACAATCAAGCAGAGCGAATGGGGAAGGGAATTGCTGTGGGAAGGGGAGACGGGGGATATTGCAGCAGCAGTGGCAAGATGATGGAAGGGCACACAGGGGCATACAGGAGCATACAGTGGGTATATACAAGCATACACAGGGGTACAGAGGGGTGTACGGGAGCATACAACGGTATACAGGGGTATTTATGATTGAGCAGGGGCCACTCACAGTGATTGTTCTGATCTGACAGCCATGAATCGGATGCTGTGAGAACAACCAGCTCATACCCCTCTGCTGCCCTCTGCTGTGATGCTGCATTGCTGGCAGCAAGTCTCGAGGAGCCTAAAAAAAACGGCGTACATGCACCAGCGGCCACTCACAGTGATTGTTCTGCCAGGCCTGACCCTGGCGTTGTGGGGGCAACCAGCTCGTACCCCTCTGCTGCCCTCTGCTGCCATTTGTTGTGATGCTGCACTGCTGGCAGCGAGTTCTGAGGCGTCTCAAAAAACTGGTAAAAGAACCTGGAGCACTCAGAGTGATTGCTCCGTCAGGCATGACTCTGACGCAGTGGGGGCAAGGCAACCAGCTCGTACCCCTCTGCTGCCCTCTGCTGTGACTCGGCACTGCTGGCAGCAAGTCAACAGTGTACATGCACCAGTGGCCACTCAAAGTGATTGTTCTGCCAGGCCTGACTCGGACACTGTGGGGGCAACCAGCTCGTATTGTACCCCTCTGCTGCTCTTTGCTGACCTTTTGAGTCAACTCCCAATTCACAAGCAGAGAGGGAGAGCACTCACAGCGATTGCTCCGTTAAGCCTGACTCTGACGCTGTGGGGGCGACTAGCTCGTACCCCTCTGCTGCCCTCTGCTGTGATGCTGCACTGCTGGAAGCCCTAAAAGAGGGGTGCGGATGGTTGGAAATGGGTAGCGATGGATGGGTGGGAATCGAAGGGGGTGAGAGGATGGGTAGGAAATGAAGGGGGTTGCATTGCAGTCGCAGATGGGAGGAAAAGTACAGAGGGATGGGAAGGGGTGGAGAAACGAAGGGGATGGATGTGAAGGAGTGGAGAGGGATTCCACAAGAGACAGAGGACTTTCTGGAATTGGTGCTTAGAGACAGAGGAGCACTGATGAAAGTTAAGGCAAGTGCGGTTGGTTCATGCAGTATTGCGGGGGCAAAACAACGTAAATAATATGTTCTATTGAGGTTGGCATTGAGGGAGCGACTCACTCACCCCAGGAATGTGGAAAGAGCGAGAAAAAGGGTTTCAAGCACTGCCACTACCACATAGGGCACCTGAATGGCAAGGAAAAACGGCAAGGGGGAAACAGCGGGAGGAAGAACTGGGAAGAGAGGAGGAAAGTTGAGGCAAACGTGCAGGAGAGGGGGAGGCGGAGATCAGGCATGGCGGAGAAGCAGAGTTGCAAACAGCAATGCAATGATTACGAGTGGCTTCTGAAGGGTCTCACTGGAGAATCTTACAGCGATGAAGTGGTCACGAGCGGCAAAGCCAAAGGCGCCCCACGAGCATGCCGCAGCTAGAGCTGAGCAGCTGAGGAAGAGGTGCGATGGCTGGGCGCCTGTTGCCGAGTCCAACAGGCTGAGCTGATACGGGGGGAGGGGATGACAGCAGGAGCAGATGCGGGGAGGAGGGGATGTGGGAGGGAAAGAGATTTTTGACCTTACGGAATGAATGGGCAGGGGATGTGTGAGTCTTGATAGCAATGGTGTCTTTACTACTTTCTCTATACAGTTTCAGCCCATACCATGCGAGAGAAGGGCTGCGAGGCGAGCAGGAGAGCAGAGCAGCAGCAAGGTGACTTCTGAGGCAACATCATCGCAAGAATGATAGCAGCAGCTCGTACCATGCGGGACAGGGGCTGAGAGGCGAGCAGGAGAGCAGCAGCAACTGAGGCAGTCCATCCGATGACGAGGGAGGAAGGTGCGATGAAGGATCCGAGGAAGAGCACCAGAATGGAGAGGCCAGAGGCTGGTAGCAGCAGCTGCAGCACCTGCCGCTGGGGGTGTCGGGTGAGGGGTGAGTAGTGATGGGTGGAAGGGTCGAGGAGTGAGTATTGACAGGCCGAGACCAAAATGGAAAGGCCTGAGGCCGGTAGCAGCAGCTGCAGCACCTGCCGCTGGGGGTGTCGGGTGAGGGGTGAGTAGTGATGGGTGGAAGGGTCGAGGAGTGAGTATTGACAGGCCGAGACCAAAATGGAAAGGCCTGAGGCCGGTAGCAGCAGCTGCAGCACCTGCCGCTGGGGGTGTCGGGTGAGGGGTGGGGGGTGAGGGCAGGGCATACAGACAGGCCGAGACCAGTGTGAGAGGTGCTGGTGTGGAAAAGGGACTAGATATGAGTTGAGTCAAAATCCATGAGACGGGCTGTCCCGGCCCCTCATGCTGGTGTGGTCAGGACGAGGGACCGGGACAGACCTGGCTTGCAAAGATCCATCTCCCAACAAGCAGATGTACTGGAATTGGGTATTCCAATCCAACACACAAGCGGCAAATTGTAGTCAGGTTCTTGAAAAACGATCAGGCTTTTTCCCTCTTTCTTTTTTTTTTTTTTTTTTTTTTTTTTTGGGGGGGGGGTTTCTTTTCTTTTTACAAAAGAGGGAGCGGCGTACCAGGCGCAGGGTGTGGGTGGAGGAGTCAGAGGAGATAAGGGCGAGGAGGAGGGCGGAGAGGGAGAGTGACTGTAGGAGGTGTGCGAGCAGGAAGAGGACACGGCGGGGCGTGACTATAGGGAGGGCGTAGGCAGTCCAGAGGATGGAGGAGAGGAGGGAGCAGGAGAAGGGGGCTGTAGTGATGCTGCTGCGGGAATAGGGCGAGGAAGCTTTTTGGAAGGCGTTCCTGAGAAGATGAGCGAACGCATGGGACAGGAGACCAGAGATTATGCATGACTGAAACTTGAGATGTGATTGTGGCGAAGCGCTGACGCTGGATGATCATGGGGGCTGTTGCCTACGAGTGGTTGTTAGATAGGAATACGAGAGATTAACAGGGCTGTGAAGCATAGGTAAGGTATGGGGAAAGCAGTGGTAACGCATGGGGGGATGTCATGGCGGAATAGCACTGGTTAGGAGTGGAACAGTATGGGAAGGGCATGGGGGAACGAGGCAGTGGGGAACGAACCAATAAGCAGCCTGAAGGAGACACGTGGTGAGCAGACCTGCACAAAAATCGAACACAACAATTAGGACGTTAGCAATATCCAGGCGACCCACTGGAAATGAGACTAAAATTCGCGAAAAATCGCGATATCGCGACTGAGAAGTGCAAGCCACACAGGAAGCTGCACAGATGCGTTGCTGACAACGAAATTCAGCGTATGCGATATAGAACGAGTCTGCTTTCGAAGTGCCACGACAATTGTCTTGTGAGACCGAGCCTCCTTGATACTGACGGAGCGCGTGATAGGCAGACAGTGATGCAAATGAAACGTCTGTCTTTCAAGCACAAACGAGGGGAATTTCGAGTATTCTCAAACATCTCGTGAGAGAGTAACGGGTTGGACGCACTATACGATGTTTTCGGACTGACCTAGTGTGCCTAAAAACGAATCCATGGCTGCGCGTGTGTCGGCACTTGTTGGATGCGAGCGCGTAATTTGCGAATTCGAATGGAGCTCTAACGGGGATTGAGGGGCGCGACCGAGGGAGGGGTAATGGGTGAGAGGGAGGGACGGAACTACAGTAGTCGGAAATCCATTGAGGGTGAGGGGGATTTGAGCCCTGAAATTTTCGTTTGTCCAAGGTTCGTTATTGAGTTTGGCAAAATAACGTGTCCTTACACAATCGAGTTGCTGTATAACGAACACATGCTGTTGAGGTGTCATTTGTCCGCCGCGATATGCGGCAGCAACACTTTTTCGTCACACCCACGGGCAGGATCATTATGGATGGGAGGAAGCAGAACTCCCACCGCGTTCGATTGCGGTTCTGTGGGATGCTGCATGTTTTGCGGCGATGCAGCTTGCAATTCGGTCAACAATAAGCTGGACTTAAACTGATTCGCTACCCCCTCCGCCATTTTTACGCGATTATTTCAAGCCTCTTGAGAAGCTCATGGCTTGCATAGTAGCGCTCGCGGCGGTCGCGCTGTGCATATATTGTAAGAAGCTGCAATGCCACCGCCGTATTTTCCACAATTATTCGGTCGCTCGTGCGGCGGGTACGAGCCCTCGTTACAACTGCAGCCGATTCGGCCTCCCTTCGCAGTTACCCCATAGGGGGCAGCGCACACGATAGTATTTAACAGAAGGAACTGTCAGAATGTTATAATTGTCTAGCCTGCAGTGGGGTACTCTATAGCGAGTACAACCCAATTAGGGTTTCCTATATGTATGCCAACTGCTGCTAGTGCAAACCCTCCTTTCTTCATTCTTACTTTCTACTGCTAGTTCTGACATGCTATCAGAGCAGGTCGACCCTCCTGGGTCGATCCTGTGGGTGGGCCCACCACCTCACTGCTTCCGCTGCTACTGCTACTCTGTGTGTTGCACGCCCCGTGGCGTGCGACGGATTTTTCATCCCGCCGCGCGCTCGGAGCGTGCGGCGGTTTTCTGCCCGCCGTGCGCCCCGAGGCGCGCGGCGGCTTTCTGCCCCGTCACTCCGCGCGTCGCCCCCGGGAGGCGCTGCGACGGGCGACGGGGACCCGCGCGTCGCCCCCCGTCGCCCGTCGCGGCCCGCGCGACCTTCGTAGGGCCCGCGCGCGGCCCGTACAGCCTGCGCGCGGCCCGTACGGGCTGCGCCAGGCCCGCGCGCGGCCCGTACGGGCTGCGCCAGGCCCGCGCGCGGCCCGTACGGGCTGCGCCAGGCCCGCGCGCGGCCCATAAGGGCTGCGCCAGGCCAGGGCGCGCCTCGGGCCGCCCCCGCGCGGTTCGTGCGGGCTGCGCCAGGCCCGTGGGCGCCCCGTTTCCTCTTCCCTTGAGCTGCACGCTGTCCCCCGCGCTTCTGACGGCGCCCCACCCCTGCTGCTGCCCGTGCTCCTGAATTAGGGTTTGGGGGTGGAGCGTATGGGGGTGCCGTCTCTGTCAGCCGTCCCCTGCTCCTCCTCCTCCTCCTCCTCCGTCTCCCACTGCTGCAGCTACCGCTGAGGGGGGTGGATGTGTTGGAGCCGTCGGAGTGGTACGAGGGGGTGGCGTGCAAGTGGAGTTAGGGGTGAAGCAGGGGGTGTGTGTCAGGGGGGGTGGGACTGTTTGGGGAGGCTGAGAGGAGGCTGCCGTTTTGTCGTCCGCAGCACCTGTAGTCCGGGGCGCTGTCCTGGTAGCCCAGAGAGCCTGCTGCGCCTGTCGCCCGTGGGTCCGTTGCTCCTGCCGCTCGTCTTAGCCGCGGAGCCTGTTACTCCAGTAGTCCGGGGCGCTGTCCCGGTAGCCACTGTGTGCGCGCTCCTGTTGCCCGTGTGTTTGCAGCTTCAGTCGTCGTCTCCAATCTTCTCTCCCTTCACAGTTCCTCCTCCTCACTTGCCCGCTGTGACTACCACTAGCTTTGCTCATAATTGTGAACTACTGCTATACTTGCTCACTGTGCTGATTACACCCCACTTTGGCTATGGGGGTGTGTCAGAATGTTATAATTGTCTAGCCTGCAGTGGGGTACTCTATAGCGAGTACAACCCAATTAGGGTTTCCTATATGTATGCCAACTGCTGCTAGTGCAAACCCTCCTTTCTTCATTCTTACTTTCTACTGCTAGTTCTGACAGGAACTTCGACTCTCAGCACATCATTTGAGCAACATCTCTAACAACCTACTATTACCTCTCGACTCGTCAGGTGCATTTGTCCTAGAATCCTCCGGACATCTAGAGTCCGAGTACCTTTCAGCTCGTCCAAGATACCTGTATCCATCCATTCCGCCGCCATGGCTCTCCGTCACGTCCTTCTTCTCACCTTCGTCGCGGCCTTCGCGCTGAGCCTCTCGGCTGCCTCCGCTCTTCCCAGCCACCCTAGTACGAATAATCGGCGCGCTTTAGGCAACAAGGGCTCCAAGCCCGCGCCGGCGGGCTACGTGAAAGCCGAGTCGCCGGAGCGTCAAGTCACGGCGGAGATGCAAGCCAAGGCAAAGGAGATCGCGAAGGAAGCGTTCGAGAAGGCGAAGAAGGAAGCGAAGGACCCGGAGAATCAGAAGAAAGCGGCCATGTTAGCGGCGGAGCAGATCGGAACGATGGCTGTGAACGCCCTGGTGCCCGGAAGCGCGCACGTGATTGGCAATGCGAAAAAGGCGAAGTATTTTAAGGAGCAGATCTGGCCCATCATCAAAGCGGAGGTCCAGAAGCTCGAGGACGAGGCGACGGCGGAGCGCCAGAAGCACTACCAGGCGATTAAGACGCCGCCCCAGACTCCCAAGGGCAAGAAAGGCGGCAAGTGACTCGCTTGGGAGGCGACGCGAGATTTTGGAAAAGCAGATTGAGCTCAGGAAACAAAGGGAAACCTGTCCGGGGGATGGGAACAGGGCATGGAGGGCACGAGAGCACGATACGGCGGACTTGGGATGAGGCGTGGTAGTTGGGGATGTGGAGAATATGGGGGGACTGGGAAGAGGGTCTAGTGGGATTTGGTGGATAGGGGGGTAATTTAATAGGAGCAAGGGATGAGGGTCTGGAAGAGGGGAGGCTTTTCTCTATTTAATTGCTGAGGGAGGAAGAGTGAAGAGGATTCAGGCATCTTGATGATAAATGTGGTGCTGGTCTTGAGGGTAACTGGGTGGGAGGGGTGGAAGCAGGGAACAGAAGGCCAGAAAGAGGGAAGAGGGGCTGGGAAGGAAGGGGTGTGGTGTAGGGCATAAATTAGGCAGGTTTTGTGTGGGATGGGAACGAGCAACCGTTTTGAACCACCTGTAATCCACTCAAAAATATTTTTAGATGTCATTGCATGTATGTATCACGTCAAGATAACATGATCACTCGTTGGCAGGTTGTGGGAAACAACAGTTTCAGTTATAGGAGAGCATTGGAGATCAGGGAAGCCTTTACAATAAGGTTGTGTTGACCCCTATGTGTTTGTATTGCGTACATCCTTCAATTGAAACCTAGGGAGAGGGAAGCCCTGAGTATCATCCAAACACGAAAGCAGATACTTCATAAGGCCGTTTCGCGCTGGATTCTCGTACGGGCTTCCAAGCACTATTTCCTTTTATCCTCGTCACTTCAGGCTCGTGTTTCTGGTCGTTTCGCCATGGATTCGTTACAAGCACGGCAGACGTGGGAGCTGGAGAATCGAATCGAGCCGTTGGCGTCCGCTGACGTGGACGCGATCTACCGCTACGATGAGCGAATCCACGCGGACGTACTGTCGCAGAAGCCGTGGACCAAAGACCCGCACTATTTCAAGAACGTCCGAATCTCCGCACTCGCGCTGCTGAAAATGGTCGTCCACGCGCGTTCTGGGGATACCATAGAGGTGCGTGTTACATGAGGAAATTCATTTCGAGATTCTCAAGAGCCACGCGGACGTGCTGTCACAGAAGCCGTGGACCAAAGACCCGCACTATTTTAAGAACGTCCGAATCTCCGCGCTCGCGCTGCTGAAAATGGTCGTCCACGCGCGATCAGGCGACACAATTGAGGTACGCGCCTGAAATCCGCCGTCCACGAAGGCTTCGAACCGTTTGAGACGAGAGGCTGTGGACTCGAGGCCCGGACCACCCAACAAAGCGAAATCCGTGCGCCTGACTCTTGAGTCGGCTCAAAAGTCAGCTCTATTTGGAGCTGACACGAGCGAATCCGTGACGACGTGCTGTCGCAGAAGCCACGGACCAAAGACCTTTGCGCAAATAAGTGTCAGAATCACTAGGCAAGAATGATTGAACTAGCAGAAGTTTGGGTACAAATATGAAACCCTAGTTGGGGTTGTACCCCATATTGGCTACCCCACTACAGCCTACAAGCATAATACAGTTTAACACACCCCCATAGGCAAAGTGGGGGAGAACAAAGGGTCACAAGACCAGTCCAGCAAAGCAAAGCAAAGCCCAGGGTGGATCACAACGTCACCACACTCCGAGCACAAGTAAAGGCCACAAGGCCAGTTCACATGCAGTGCTAGATATAGTACAAGACAAGCAACACAGTGATCAAAACCTAGCAAGCAAGCAACAAGATATATATAAAGTACAGTACAAAGAATGTCAAGCAGTGAGCAAGTGAGGAAACGTGGACACAAGGCCTAAAGAAGTACAGTGCCGCTGATGATCACTAGGCGGGAGCGCCTTGGTGAAGATATCAGCAGTGTTGGCCTTCGAGTCCACGTACACAAGCCGAAGCTGACCGCGCTGCTGAAGCTCTCGAGCAAGAAAGTAGCGAAGAGCAATGTGCTTCGTCCTGTGCTCCAGTCTGTGCTCCTGACACAAGGCAAGAGCCGCCTTGTTGTCACCGTACAGAACTGGAGGAGAACTAGGCCGCTCTCCCAAGTCAGTCAGCAGGTAGGTGAGCCAGCGTAACTCCTGTGCAGCCATGGCTGTGGCGTAGATCTCAGCCTCACAACTAGAGCCGAGAACAGAGGAAGAGCGGGTGGACCGCCACGAGACAGAACCAGAGCCAAGGCTGAAGGTGTAACCCTGTGACGACCGCTGCGTAGCCAGGTCGTCCACCCAAGAAGCGTCCGAGTGACCAGTGAGGACAACTCTCTCGCGTCCTCCAAGCACCAGCCCCATGCCTGATGTACTGCACAAGTAACGCAGCACCCTCTTAGCAGCCTCCCAGTGCTCTCGCCTGTGTCTCCCAAGCGCAACGTAACGAGCAAGGATGCTAAGAGGGTACGCGAGGTCAGGTCGCGTGCAAGTCATCAGGTACATGAGGCAGCCTACAAGCTCTGGGTACGGGCCACTCGGCTCTACGGACTCGTCCGAAGGTGGAGCTGAGAGCGAGTGGCTGGTAGCCAGAGGTGTGGCCTGTGGTGAGGAGAACTGGAAGCCGAAGCGCTGAAGGACCTGCTGCACCATGTGTGACTGAGTCAGGGTGATGGTGCGGCGAGCTCTGTCCCGGGTGATCTGCAAGCCAAGGTAGCTACGCAGTTCACCCAGGTCAGTGCAGGTGTGTCTCTTCTGCAGCTCCGACTTCACACGAGCGAGTGCCTCAGTGTCAGCAGTAGCAAAGACCAAGTCGTCGACGTACACGAGAATGTAGAACGGCGGCAGCGACGTGTCTGTGCGCAGAAACAGCGACGGGTCAGCAGTAGACGGCGCGAACCCAAGAGCCGCAAGTGTAGTCCTCAGTGTGTCGTGCCACTCACGTGGCGCCTGGCGGAGACCGTAGACTGGCCGGCGGAGACTCCACTGGGTACCAGGGGGAAACGACCCAGTAAAGCCAGGTGGGCGGCGCAGCCAGATCTCCTCGTGCAGGCTGCCCTGCAGGAACGCTGTGCTGAAGTCAAGAGAGTGAAGCTCGTAGTCACGCTGAGCAGCAACGTGCAGCAGAACCCGAAGAGTGGTCATCTTCGGGGTGGGGGAGAAGGTCTGGAAGAAGTCGACCCCCTGACGCTGACTGAAGCCTCTAGCAACGTAACGAGCCTTGAAGACAGGCGGAGAACCTGGCGGCCGCTTCACCCTGAAAATCCACATGCCATCGACGATGTTCGCCCCAGGAGGGGGAACCTCGTCGACGTAGGTGCCTGTGGACTTCCAGGATGCCATCTCTGCGTCCATGGCTGTCTGCCACTGAGAGGAGTAGGGACCCGAGATCGCCTCTGCGTAAGTGCGCGGAGTGGGGATGTCTAGTGCATCCGGGTCTCCCTCAGGGGCAAGCAACCAGGCCACGAGATGAGGTACAGCAGTCGCAAGAGAGTCAAAGTCCTCCTGCCTGTCCTCAAGGACGTCCGTGCCAAGAGCACACTCACCCCCGACGGACGGAGGACAGACAGACGCAGACTCAGACTCAGCAACAAGGCTAGCAGCGTAGTCTAGACGACAGGCAGCAGCAAAGTCAACCAACTCAGCGACCAGAGCAGACGCAGCCGAGGACTCAAAGGTAGGGTCAGTGACAACAGTAGCGAGGAGACGCGTGACTGTAGGGTGCTCAGCGCGATACCGGTCAGACTCAGGGTCCGGAACGGCAGGCAAAGAGGACGCAGGAGGAGACGGTAGAGGGACACGCCGAGGAGCAGTAGAGGGACGCAGAGTCATGTAGTGAGTGCCTGGGACAGGAGGAGGACGCTCACGACGGACACGACTACCAGTGCGAGCAGGACGAACAGGCGACACAGGACGAGACTCAGGCTCACGACGCTCTGTAAGACCTCCTGTGGGACCAGCGTAAGGAGAGGGAGCAGGGAGAGGCGAGGCAGGCGGTAACTGTGACTGCGGCTGGACAGGCGGAGGACACTCTACGGAGGGAGGAGGACAAGGAGGAGGAGCCTGCCCAAGAACCTGCTGAAGGAGCGGTACGAAGTACGGTCGCGGCCGCGCAGCGTCTCCAGAAGCAGAAGAGACTCCAGCGGCCGGGTCCTCAGGACCAGCAGGAGCTCCAACGTCCGGGTCCCCAGCACCAGCAGCAGCGCCACCGCTCGGGTCCTCAGCTCCAGCAGCAGCTCCACCAGGCGGGTCCGCAGCACCAGCAGCAGCGCCACCCCCAGAGTCGGCAGCTCCAACTCCGCTAGCACCGCCAGCGCCAGAGTCCCCAGCTCCAGCAGCTCCAGTCGCAGTGCTCCCAGAACAACCAGTCCCGGCAGCTCCAGTACCCCCAGTACGAGCACCCCCAGGACGAGCAGCCCCAGCACCCCCAACTCCAGCCGAGCCACTAGGACGGCGAAAGCGCCGGACGTACCAGTCACGAAGCTGCTGCGGTGTGAGAGACTGCTCAGCACCCCGAACCGGAGCACCCCCAGACGCAGTAACCCGAGGCTCCGTAGGCTCAGTAGCAGCACCCCCAGGCTCAGTACCCGCAGGCTCAGTACCCGCAGGCTCAGCACCCCCAGTCGCAGCACCCCCAGGCTCAGTACCCCCAGGCGGCAAACTCTCAGGCACAGTACCCTCAGCTCCAGCACCCGTAGTCCCAGCACTCCCAGGCCCCGCACCCGCAGGCTCAGCACCCCCAGGCTCAGCACCCCCAGGCTCCGTACTCTCAGGCACCGTACCCTCAGCTCCAGCACCCTCAGTCCCAGCACCCGCAGCCCCAGCACCCCCAGGCCCAGCACCCCCAGGCTCAGCACCCCCAGGCTCAGCACTCCCAGCAGCACCACCCGCAGCAGCACCTGAGTCACCTGTGACCTCGACAGGCTCAGCGACGGGAGGAGGGTCTACCTGAGAGACACCTGAAGGAGCAGGACCCTGAGGGGGAAGGGGGTCTACCGGAGGGGGACCAGGAGCAAGGAACAGCGGCGGGGGAGGGAGGGGGGCAGTGCGGTAGGGGAAGAGACGGTAAAAAGGGACCGACT